CTTAATAATAGACTTCCAAAAATGGGGGTGCTCATTGAGAAATAAACATATGAATAAATTTCTAGGAATTGAAAAGAGAGGGGAATCACTTTTACAGGAGAGCTGCACATTAACTTGATATCAGTCAATATATCGATCAATTCGAAACTTTAACATCCTCCCCAGGCATTTGACCGTCGTCTGTTTCCGGAGGTTGAGAAATTTTTACCTTGCCTGGCGGGAGTGAAGGATTTTTACCCGAAGAGTCAAGTCTTTTCCATTTGAACCTTAAGTGTCAACTCTTTCCATCGGAATTCAATTGTTATATTTTTTAAATCTGAAGCTGTGTAAAGATAAAAAATTTACCATCGCGAACTAATGGCTCAGAAGAAATGGTCTACAAGGTTTAGATTTTAAAGCTTAGTCAATGAGTAGGATGTCACGGACGCTGATTTTTCTTTTTGCAAAAAAAAATTGACAATCCAATACGTTACTTGGGTGGAACATTTGAACACATTCCCCGCCCCCCCCACCCCCTACGGGGGAGATTTGAACAGACAAATCTGCGTAAGTTCTTATGCCCGGAAGGTTGCCATGGGGGATGATGAAGCGTCGAATTGATCGGCGCATAAGCGATTCTTCATCTAATCATTAAAGAGCAACTAAGATCAATTTCATCAAAATGTTTTGTTCTGCTTTTTTCTTTGCACACAGTACTTTGCAGGCTGAAGAAGGGTTTTGACGCTAACTTTCCTCAGTTTTGAAATCTATTGTCTGTTTATATATTCCATGATTGCCTCCGATAAAGTGACATTCCTCCAGCAGTTTAGATAGAAAAATGTAATCTCAAATAAATGTCTCCACTGCAACCTCTGAGGAATCCATATTTCACAACTAAGAAGGGTGATATTAAGCTAATTTGAAGACAAATACCTGCTGGAGCGTCAAAACGTTATTATAACTAAATCTTTTTACGCATGATTTTTTAATGGCAGAGATAAAATTTATAAAGTTTCAGAAACTAGCTTCTCGTTTAATTACAGAAAAAAAAACTTACCCAGGAGCATATGTAAGATACATTGAGTTCCAATCTTTTTCTTGCTTTTCATATCTTCCCAACGTCCGCGATGAAAACAAATAGCACATCTATATATGTAAGGAAGGAATCAAACTGCTTCTCGAACATCTTGTTCGAATTGTCAGGAATGTTAATGTTAACCTCGATCGCCCTCTTTCCATATGAAGAGTGTCCGCTTTTGTAATCACGTACAAATTCAGTGGCTTTGTTCCAATTAGAACAGGTTGTATCCCACTTCTTTTAACCTTCACCAAACTGGAAGAAATAAACAACTGTGTAAATTATAAATTCCTTTTCATCCATCACAATTGTAGCCATGGATTTTCTTGAAATGTTGAAAACATAAGCGATAGACAAGATACACGATGCTTCGTCATTCATATACATCTACAATGTTTCCAGATAAATCCTAAGTAATTTGTTTCAATTTAGATTTAGGTAACGTGATGACTCTAATGATATCAAAATCTACGAAACGTTGATTTAGAAAATGAAAGCACATTACGCGACAAAAATTTAATCGGACAAAGTCAGTGTTAGAATGGCAACCGGTCGTTCCACAAACGAGTCGTTTCGCCAACGGTAGTTTCGCAAACGTTGTAAACATTTATATGTCAACCTGGGCTTAACTATACGATTCAGAATACTACATTACTGACACATTGTATGCGTAACTTATTGGATGTGAAATCTCACAGCTTAACTTCTCGTTAAAGTATATTTCATAATCAAATGGACAATTTTTATCCCGTGTCTCGATAGTTGTAAAGCAAAGCTTTCTGATAGAAGACAACAACAGTAAGACCTATTTCATATTAGTAGATTGATTTGCGGATTACAGTTACTGTACATGCAACACGCAAACGCTGTGATAGAGCGAAATCAACTACAAGACTGAATGACTTAAGCTAGAGAGTTAGTTTGTGTGCTCAAACGTTGACATCTCAAATCTACAAAGTGTGTGAACTGACTTCTACACGTATAAATGTTTATAACGTTTGCAAACTGACTTCTACACGTTTGTGAACTGACTAGAGACGTTTGCGAAACGACTCGTTTGCGAAACGACCGACATTCGTTAGAACTTTCTGCCCAACTTTGTCTAACACATGTTCGCTATTCCTTCGGTCCAAAATTGTCGTGCTACTTTCTATAACGAATACTTTTTTTACCAACCTGCTGAAGGTCGATGTATTTTGCTAAACTGTTGTAAACCAGAATCTTTCTCCTCTTGTCTCACCAATTTGTAATAAATGATTCCAACCAACGAGGACTGTGATATTTTGGTGAAATAAGGTTCTGATGTGTGATCAGTTAGCCGGAGTTTTACCATCAAAGTTTTGACAAAACTCTTCGAAGTATCTGTTAAGAACTGCATGAGGGATTTCGTGAATCCGTACTTTTTCAGTGTCACAAAGTAAATGATAACCGTTAAAAATTCAAAAATGATCAGATCGGCTGAGCTGCGCAGGACAATAAAAAAGGATGCTGGAATTCAAGAAGTCTTCATTCAAAGGCGCAAAATTTTCGCATACACCAATAGTCGCTCAGCATTTCAAATTCTGCCTCTGCAACACCTTTTTGCTCTTTTTGCATTTGCATATGAAATAAATTTTCTTTGCTTTGGCCTGGGTGACACGTTTTTCGGGAAAGAAAGTTTAATTTGAATGATGTCGGCCATTTGAGGTCTAGGGTCTTAGAAAGTAATCCGCTTAGAGCAAACAGGGGTGGGGAGGGGAGGTGGTAATTCCTAATGTATGATTTGAAGTATCCGTGAGAGTTTACAGAATTGTGGACGCAAAATGAATTACGTGCCCTTGACTTATGTTCTCTTTTCGCCAACAGGACTTTTCTTCATAGTGTCCATGACGCGCTCATAACACCGATTAAATTTTCCTGTAAGGGAAAAGTTTGTTTTTCGTCATGCATCGGGGAGAGGCATTTGTAAAATTATTGTGAATCGTCTTTGTCTTCTGTAGTGTATCGGAAAGAACTGAAAAAAGTATTTCTTTGGCGCTACTGGGCATAATTCGCTGATACAAACACTAATATGTTCTCTCTTTAATATGATACACCAATTTTTCTTCTTTTCTTGTGAATATCTAATAATCTCCTGCAACACCACCTTTTAGCCAGTGAAAAACTGATCTAAATATTTGCAGTATTAACCGGTTTGTATTGTCAACTGCGAGGCGTGGAATCCATAAATTCTGAAACAATCGTGCCTAGTTTATGTTCTTAATTCTTACGGAAATCACATAGCAACAAAATTTCTACTCACCGCATCTCTGGAGTTAAATTTGAAGACATTTTGTGAAATAAACGTTATTGTTGTAGCTGCTTAATATTGAAAAAAAATACCCGCCAATTAATTAGAATTTAAGGACTTAGCGTCAAGTACTGGGCACGAAATAAAACTGCGTCAAAATATCGCTTTTGCTTACCTATTGACGTTTTGGTGTGGTTTTAATATCCATAGGAATTCAATCTGACTTAAGTTTGTTGATTGCGTCTCTCTCAGGAGGACGGGACAACAATTCAACTATTCCAGGTGTTTTTTTGATTACATAACCTATTTTCGGCTTGGACAGAACAACACTTTTTGAAAGAGACTTGAAGAGGTAAATCATAAGCCTTAAGTGACTGTCACTTGTAACAATCCAGGAAGGAAGCCTTGCAAGGTACGAAATTCTAGTTTCTTTTTCTTGTTAGGCTAGTCTCTGACCCAGTGCTCTCATGAGCTACACTCAACCTCGAAAGTATCCGCGTGTTTTAGCAGGAAACTGTGCAGAGATATAGCGTTTGTGAAAGCGTGAATGACGAGCTGGCAAGGGCCCCGATTTTGACTTCAGACTCTCTGACTAAGAAGCACACGCTTAAAGTATATCCCAAAACACCGAAAAAAATTTTAACTGCCTAATTAGTTCTCAAATTCTGTGGCGACGATCGATGAGTTAACAAGTGCAAGAAAAAGAACACAAAGATTAAACCTTGGTCAAGGGTGTAAAATATCGTGATTTGTTTTCAACTCACCGAAAAGCTCGTCAATGAGGGCAATTTCAACCGGCAGATCAAAATCACCGTATTGGGACACGCTCCAAGACACACAAACCCAACCTATTGCTCCATTCTGTACAGTAGGATGGTGCACCACCCTGTTCACACCGGTACCGCAAGTGCTGCTGCATGAAACTTCCATTATATTGCACTGCCTCCCAGCGCGAACGCACCTCAAAGCCGCATGCGATACAAAGATATATAATGAGTACTGATGATTTTAAAAAGTTGTGTTTGTAATGATCTCCCAATAAAAACGACGTCTCTTTATTATCCACCACGAATCGAAACCTACGAATAAATTAATAATTTAACTAATGCAGCCATTAGAGGAAACATCGCTGACATGCTATTTATCATTTTAATACACTGTTTGTGCACATTTTTAATTTCGCATCTCTAAAACCAAAAATTGGTTAAACTTTAAGATCTAACCTTTCATATGATACAAGTTTCTTTAAATTGGTTACTAAATGCATTCATAATAAAGAAGTTCGTGTTACAGGTCACGTCGACATTCTCTGTGATTGACACAGAAAAAGGAAGCCAAGTTCGTTTCTGTAAACTTCGCTGTATTTGTACACAATTTTAATGTCGCAATATACTATTACATCTTGGCAAAAATCACTCTGGTTTCGCTTCAGGTAAGGTACGTTTTTTCTTGGGGTAAGGGGGGGGGGGGGAAAGAGGGCTGGGACCTCAGAGGGGAGGGTCGTCAGTGAAAGTGGACACCCAAAGTGGAGGGTCTTACATCTTTGTAAGCCATTCAAGGGGAATGTCTCACACCTTTTCCAGAATTTTTTTATGAGGATTGTTGTGATGTTGCTTTCCATTATTCTTACAGATTAAGTTTTTCTATTCACCCACTTTGATTTAATTTGGTGTTTTATTATAGGTTCCAGGTTACATTTCTACATGTGTATTATGCCATGGCACATAGTTTTCTAGGAGGACTCGTGTCCTTTTCCGTCCGTATCGAGACGTACTGGACACAGGTAAGGGCAACCAAAAAAAATTATGTAGTTTCCATTCCTTTATTGTTAACAAATCAAAGGCAAAAAACGCATCACAATAACGAAGATTCGAAACTTGAAATCAGCCGAGGACAACAAACTAAACGATGAAAACGCGTTCGGTACTCTCAATCTCACTAAAGGTACTCTCAACACAAAGAGTTACATTCTTTACCTTCAGGCTATGTTGAGGTAACAGGTATGAAATTGTTCACCAATGCAAAGCCCTACTAAGGCACAGTGATTCTCTAAAGTGGTTATACTTCACATGGTCTCGTGCCCAGATCTCCCAAAATCGTAATTTGAGTGAAAAAGATCCGAGTTGTATAAGTGCACGATGTTACACTCGACCAACGTAAAGTTAATCTATTATTCACTGGAGACTAACAACCAAGGTTAAATTTATGGTTTCAGAAGCAATTTTAATACAACAATTACATTGTGGAAATAAATTAGCAGAATAAAAAATACACTACGAACAATAACGATTAAAAAATGTCACAGCCCAGGTTGGGAAGCCAGTGTACAAAGGAGAGTAAGAGGGAAAAGTTAACAGGCGCGCGGACATATCTAAACGAACATTAAAAAGCATCTCTTCTTTTTCATCACCCCTCCCCCCTCACCACTGTTTCATCATCTTGTAGCAAAAATGAACTGGATTATTCACACTAAACGCTGGACTATTCTCCTACAATTACTTAAAACATAGGCACAATAAGCACTTTCCAGTGTATCAGTAGGTTTGGGCAACTGGGCTCATGACCTAAATAATTGCAAGTGTGATGTATATACAAGTGTTTGCCGCAGATACACTTTTTTTTAAAAATCTTTCCAGTGTATTCTGTTTGGCACTGATAGATTACATTTCATCCCGTATTTACAACTACTCTAGACACACTCACCAACGTCAAAGTCAAAAAAAGAAACTGGCCAATGAAATACAAGACAGAATTACCCCCCCCCTCTCCTTACGTAAAAAAGCAACAAAACACAAAAAACAAAGAAATAAAAATTTTCAAAACAAGAAAAAAACATCTAAAAAAGAGAAAACCAAAACGAAAAAAAGAAGAAGAAAATTCCAAGTAAAAACTATTCACAGTTCCGGTTATGTCAACTCTAACGAAGACTCCCCGTTTACTCGCTCAATGAACGCCGCATAAATTCCACGTACGAGATCCTTCCCTCCATGTTTTCATCAAACACAGAGAAAATATGAAAGAAATCTTCTTCGTTTAACGGAAAGTTAAACCTGTACATAGCAGCTTTGAAGTCAGTCACGGAGACGAAGCCATCGCCCAACGAATCCATCTTCCTGAATGCTCTTCTCAGTCCTTTCCAGTCTGAAATCATCTGCAGAAATAATAAATTGGTATATGGCCCATTTTGAATCAAGGTGAAGGGCGCACTCGGGCGAACGTGGCTTATACCGCACATAAGGCAGCCGTGACACAAAGCTAAAACACTTATGGCAAATCGCTTATGTTCCCACCTGGACAATGGAGCTTTGATAAATTACATAGGTACAAAGCTTTCTTTTAAACAAGGACTGTTTTACCCATCAAAAACTCGACAGAAATGCGCTCTCTTCCCCTATAGCCCTTTCTGTGAACTGAACTTTAATTTGCTCGAAATATATTCACACTTTCTCACCGATATGACTAACAAGCACACAAAATCATTTTCCTTTTCCTTTGCTTCAAAGTTCAAACTGAAGAATTATCCATTAGAGACTGGAATACCATCGAAGCTCTTTGGGTCTAATGTGAAGTGAACTAGAGGACGATTATGATGCAAGGGACTTCAGCAACACAGCTCACCTGGTTCCGAATTTTATCAACAACTGTATCAACAGCCTCTTGAGCTCGTTTCCCGTCCAACCACGCCGCCTACAAGAGAAAGAAATAAACGAAACATAGCATAGCAACATGTCAATTACTCGACCAAGAACTAAAGAAAAGATCGGGGAATAAAAGCAGGATAGATGAACTTTCTCCCATACATCCACTCTCATTCTGGTTCGGGCGCGACGACGGGACTTAGTTTACTCACTCTTTTTGTCCTTTCGCCATACACATAGTGGATCCTACCACTGGACGTGAGTCACATGCAGATCTACCTCGACACCATTTCCTTTGCGACTCAGTGGCAGATATTTCTGGGAGATTTCGCAGTGGCAGATCGTCCGATAGATAATTCGAAGGGTTATAGGTTTGCTCTTCTCAGGAAATCAGAATTCATTTAGAAAAGTCGCGATTGTTCATATCAGCAAAGTTTGAGGTCCAAAACACCTTGAGTAAATCACATGTACAGGTGTAAGTGCCTTCAGCGCTTCAAATACCCTAAGAGCTACAATTCAGTTTACCTTCTCCACACAAAAGAAATACAGTGACTGGCGGGATCAACTCAAATAAACGGCAGCGTTTGATTTTAATAAAGCAACGCGCGTTAAGTCACAATCGTTTCTCGCACGTCTTCTTCTTCACACGTACCAGTACAATTTGCACTATCCTTAAGAGAGCACCTGCCACTCGACCTTATCTTGAAAATTTTAACTCACCTTTGTAAGATATCTGGTGACCGGTGCCATGGGACCGAGGTGGTCAACCTTGACAGGCATCGTGGGAAGAAATTTCTTCAAGAATTCAAGGTAGCAAACCCTTCAAAAAAGAAAACAGAAGATGACAAAATAAAGCGTCAAAATCGTTGCGCGTTAAACACTGTCTAGTGTGACAAAAAAGGTAAAAAAATGAATAAAAATACTTGAAAGGAATTAGAATTAAATCCAAATAAAAAACTAGTTACATGATTCTCACCGGGAATTTTTTCCCCTATCAAACTTCCAACAAAGGCTCAAACATTCCTCGTCTGTCATATCCTTGCAAAATCGTTTCATGACACCCTATTAATAAACCAGTTGCTATTAGTACTAAATGCTATTATCGTATTCAATCGAATAAGCTTCGCAACCTTTAATCTGCAATTTTTCTGCACCTCAAATGCAGCGCTTATTCGAGGGAGGCACTTAACTGGCAAAAAGTCACATGTGACTGAAACTACTGGCACCGGATTATTTCAATGCGATCTACAGACGTAAATTCATGAAAACTGCGAGAGCAAGGATGGAGTCATTACCTTAAAATCATCGAATTCCAGCGTAGCACTTCCTTCCTTATCCACTGAATTGAAGGCGTTCCTCATTTCACTCCACTGAGAACACACCTACACATAACACAGCATAGTTTGAAAAGTTGAACCGAAGGATTCAAGACTGCGTGATAGCGTCCGCAATCAGGTGAAAGTGTCCACAGTCCAATGAAAGCCTTCCACGACTTCCTTTATAAAGGCTGTACTGACATCAAGCATGAAATGACATACTGTAACCTTTCGTTCTGATTGGAGAAAGCTGTCTTCTAAACTCAAGTAGGTTTACTACTGAGTTCGCTTACTTAAATTTTCACGATGGGATGTGTGTAAAACTCGAGCGGAAGCGTCCAAAATGGATCAGAATCGTCTAAAAACAGCTCTTTCTTTTTCTAATCGTCATGGCGACTGGATCAGTCGCAGATCTGAGCGCTGCTAAAGTTGTAGGAGGTACAGCTACTTTGAAGTGTTTTTTCAGTATACTGACACGCTTAGAGCACCGTTTGAGGGCAATATATTTTTTTATATATCCCATCCATTCTTGTTTATTTGTGTTCTCTCTTCGTTGATAATCGGACAATTAAACTCCTGCAAACTGTGTTCAAGATCATCAATATCAAGATCTTTACATTTCACGAATTTTCTAAATGTAGCCGGTCTCCTCTCATATAGATCTACGAATAAGGGCTTGTCTAACAGCTAAAGTACCTGTTGTTTAATGTTCTTTAAAATTTCTTCCACAGAAAGTTTATTCTGAGTCTTCAATGGCGGAAGAGTCTTGTCTTCCGTTGGGGATTCTGCCTGGTCTTCCTGTGGAACAACGGAGGGTGGAGTGGGAAGGGAGTCGGAGTCAACACCTTTTTCCTCAGCCACAGATTCCAACCGGTTGTGTGATAGTGATTTGGCGTAGTCTTGAAGAACGCGTGAAAGGCAGCCTACGATAACAATCGTGTTTGGCCATTAGCAATTTATATTTCCTGTGTTAAAACTGTACATCAAGCATGAAATAGGGCAACCATTTGCTCCGACAAGAAGTCGTCGTCTTCTGAAATCATGGCTTGAAGAATGTAGGTTTATTACTGCATTTGCTCATTTAGATTTTCACGATGGGATGAGTGTTAAAGCGATGAGTGTTGCTCATCTTGTGGGATGAGTGTTAAAACAACTGGAAAGCAGTTGTTATGTCAATCTCCTTTGGATGGATTGAGCGTCGTAAATAAGAAAAAAAGGTTCAATGGCTAATCGTAACTATCAGAGGTGTCATCAAAGGTACGTTTATACTAACAGCCGGCGCACAGAGAGAGAGAGCCATACAAAAGGCGGCTTAAAGTAAGAGTTTCCCTTTATACTAAAAATACACTCGCCTGATGCAGCCTGGCCTGATTCTTCTCCAGCTGTAGTGACGTTGAAGTTTAGAAAGCTAAACTCTACTAAATGCGCAAAGCTGACCGTACCATCCTTCTCAACAGGCAGTTTGGACCAAAGTAAATCGACTTCCGGTGATGTGAACTTGAGTTCGTATCTGAAATACCAAGCGGTCACACGTTAACCCCATCACCCCTAAGAGCGACTGGCTCAGTCCCATTTTTCCTCACAGTATCACCCTTGATTGAAATATAGAGGTCATGAGAATAAAGGAAATGATCACCAAGGTAAGAAGCTCCTGATAATCGAAAAATTCTCCAGGCTTGTCAGTGTCATAAGAGACGTACAGAGAACAGTGTGGAGAATATGAATGCTAATGTTCGGCTGGAAAGGCGTAAGAGATAAAGTGTCCGTGTGCCGAATAAACTTAACGAAGTATCAACTCATCCAAGCTGGCATGTCACATAACACTTCCATAGTGAATAAAAAGACATAAAAAAGTCAACATAAATGAAGTCAATAATAAACTCAAAAATAGCCACACCGTTTTGCTGGCACAAAACTGAACAAACATAACTGGATTCTCTTCATATCGAACCATCAAGCATGTCGCTTATTTCCACCAAAGTAAGTAACCAAAAGAAGAAAAAGATTAAGGACACATATGGTTAAAAACAGATCTATACTGACCCACTCAGTCCAAAAGTACATGGACAGTGAAGCCTTGTTCTTGGTGATTCTGCCTGGGTCGCAAAACCTTTAACAAGCTTAATGAATAAAGGGGTTTATTTCTAAAGAAACTGTGGTGCTGCGTCGGTGGGAGAGTATATCAGGTAATTTAGTGTTAACAACTGGGTTGAAAACGTAAATTAGCCACCGTAAAGGGTAAAAAAGCTTTCCCTTTACGGTGGCCAATTTACGTTTTCAACCCAGTTGTTAACACTAAATTACCTGCTTTAACAAGCTTATACTACTTGTAGTTGTTGTGTTGTATTATTGTAAAAAAGTGTATCAAATTAAAAGGGAAAAAATTAGTTACCTTTCAAACAATCTTAGAAACATTCCTTTGGATAAATATCCTTTCTTAAGTTGATCCATTCCCTGAAAAGTCTAAATGAAACAAAACAGGACAAATATATAACTCACCCCACACTCAAAATCCAAGCCTCTTCCAGGAGTTCATTTAACAATCAAAAGGGCGCAACAGAAGCGCAAAGCGAACAAAGGGGGAGGTTTGGGTCATGTCACGTGAGAGAGACTCGACCCAAACCTTCTTTCCTTTTTCCTCTGCGCTTCTATCGCGCCCCGTTTACACACAGAACGCCTGAGACAGGTTGTTGAAAATTAAAAAAAGGAATAAGAACATACGTACCTTTTGTATTACTTGAAACTTCTCTGTAAGTATTTCCCGTACTAAGGAGAATAACTGCAAGGATAATTTCATTTTTTAGCAACTAAACAAGTTTAACATTTCCATAATCTATCAATTTCTGTCAAAAGTCACGAGGTTTTCCTAATATACATTGTATTGCCTGTTTGCAAAGTGCATTTCCAAAACTGCAAGTGATTTTCTTTCCCTCCAAAGACGTGAATAGCAATTCTCCAAACTGTCTGCTATACCTTGATTTAAAATTTTAGCTAGGAGAATTTAGTGGTAAATCAAACAATATACCAACCACGAGAACATGAACATGCGCAAACTTAACGTTTTTTCTATCTTATCTCCTTTCTGCTAGCAAGTTGAAATTGCAACGACAATGATCGTTTTTGGTGGCCTCTGAAAGTGAAAGGGAAAAATTGGGGAAATTACGAGAAAAAAGCCGCTTCTACGCGTCACAACTCGATAGTCTTCTAACAAACCTGAAGAAGATTTCGGGGCTGTGATTCTTTCTTGGCTGTTTCCGTGTGTGATGCGCTCCTTTCCTGTGACTTTCTTGATAGCGGTCTTCTCGGTGAGTTAAAGTCCTTGGGTGAAGTGGTTGGTTTGACATTGGCAGTTGAGGGGCTTGGTATTTTTACATTAATGGATACCTCTTTGTGTTGCCTGCATGAGACAAATAAAACAAAATTCTCTCTACGTACATGAAAATTTGGCAACAAAACTCAACTAAGTGTTTAAGTTCTACAAAATGAAGCGTTTTAAAAGCATTGAACAGTTATGGTAACGTCATTTCCGCCTGATAAATCTAACACTGCTTGTGTCTGACAATCCGTGAGACAAAGAAGTGCACCATGCTCGTACAAAGGAACTATGAGTTGAAACAATCTGACATCCAGTTTGCTTTTCAGAAACAATTAATGGAAAAAAAAACATACTGCACCTCGGTGAACTAAAGAGCTCAAGGAACCGGGCGTAAGGTATCAGGCTGTGATTCGTGTCTTCCAACAGCGGACGCAAAACTGACGTCAACTCATCGTCGGTAACCTTCATCTTGAATCGAGCTTCAAGCAATTCTTTAAACTGATATCGCTTTATTACACCTAAGTTGTCTCTGTCAAGTTGTCTGCAAGGAATTCAATGATGTATAGAGTTAGGACCAATTAAATATATACAAATCAAATAAACGATCAATAAAACATTCTACAACACAGAATACACACGTCAAGTAAAGCAAAAATCCCTCAGATGAGCTGTAATTTTAGCAATTACATGCAGAAAAGAAGCTTGAATTGTTCAAGCTTCGACGGGACTCGAACCCATGCCTCTCAAATACTAATTGGGCGCTATTACCAACTGAGCGACATGCACGAAGCCACAAGTTGAGAGTGATGCAAATTTTTAGGGGAATCTTTCCCAGCTCACCTGCAAGGGTCATTGCGTTATTTGATTTTCAATCTGCAGGTCAAAGGAAATTTAAATTTATCGCGCAAATTGTGATCAGAATGCACACAGTTGTGATAAGACTTTTTGATGAAGCAGTACAACAATTTAAAACAAGAAATAAACCCTCCTACAGATGAAATTCAGCTGTGTACTCTACTCACTTGAAGGCGCCAAGCAAGGCCAAGAAGTCTGCCTGTATAATATCCAGAAGTCGGGCTTCTGCGTCAAACGCAGTCGTACTACCAAGAGCTGAGTCTCTACTGCGATTAAACCTGCATTGCAATCAAACATAAAAGGCAAACTATCGTCGTAAAAAACATTGTATTCCGTTCTTTTTCATCGGACTGCTGCTGTAAATTTCCATCAATTTCCATCGTTATTCGAGGGGCTTCCACGAGAACGATCATTACAGTAATCAAGTCGTTTCAATTTAGTGCTAGTAGTGTTGTACTATGGATGACGCCTTTTAGGGCCTTTTAAATTAAGCTTTTTCCGAGAGATTCAAGACTCTGTCGCGTTGTTAACCCCGGAACAAAGATGTTGTAAAATAAAAATATGACTGAAATTTGAACTTGCTCAGAAGACGGAAAAGGAGTCATATCAATGTGGTGCTTGTGAGGCGTACTTCCACTAAAATATCAGGGACAGTGGGGTCACAGCTTCCCTCTTCGCGAACCACGCCCTTTCGCCTCCCGTACTTTTGTGCCCCTTTTCCCAACTCTTGCCTTTCATTGTTGTATGGCTGATAAGCAGTACTAAACAACAAATGATTGCCTTTTCAATTTCTGCTCCCGCTTTCCGCCCTTTTCCGCACCCTATTCCCTCGGGCTTCCGCCCACTTCCGCCCCCTGTTCCCCTACAATAAAATCACATACATCCAGTAGTAAACCGTGCCCATTACCTGTGTTTAGGATCATCAAGCACAGCTTGCAGCTGCCCTTTCTCAGAGCGGTCTAAATACAAATCCATAAGTTTTTTGTAAGGAACCATGCTGTGTTCACGCATACCACACCTAAAGTAGGAAGCAGTTAACGCAATCAATTTGATTAATGAAATTCAGTCTTTTGGGGCGGCGCCAAGGTTTTTGTGAGCTCGGCGGACTTAGGAGTTAAAGAAGGACCGCTCGTTGCCACAGCTCTTTGAGGAAAGAGACAATATTTATCATTACTTACCTTTGGAGAAAATGTTCAGTTTCAACTGGCCCAAGCTGCAAGCGGTATTCAGACAAGGCTTTACGAAAATCTGCCTTGCTTATCTAACGCAACAGAATAAATCATCGTTAATAAGGGTTAGAGACCGTTACGAATGATTTTAAGATAACTACACGCACGGACTGACTATATATAGACGAGAAATTAAAAAAAAAAACAAAAAAAAAAACAAAAAACAAACAGTGCATGACGTAAAGTCTAGTGGAGAGGGAAGAATTTCATGTCCATTTCACTTTAAAGTTGACGGGTCGTTTTGCTCATCATTTGTCCTAAGGAAACTGAATTTCCAGGGTTTTCCAAATCTCACAAAGTTTAAGTATTATATATGACGTTTCTATGATATTACAACAACAACAACGTAAAGAAGCTAAGGATTAATTCACCGTACGATACCTGTCCAGTATCTTCAGGATCATACTTCTTGAATGAATTCACTAATTGGGTGTAGCCTTCTTTAAACTGCAATATTCAGTTATACTTAATATCAGTTTTATTTTATTCTCATTATTTGTATCAGAATAACAACATTTCTGGCAAAGGTTGCCCTTTTACCACTGATTCATCCCGATTTTTCGTCCTCAAATTCATACCACTTCACCGAAGTTTACGTTTGACGTACAACATAGTCTCTTTTGTATAACAATAGCGAACAAAAAGGAGGGAGGAGCATATTTTGTGAAAACTTACATCATGGTAATATTTTATGGTACATACAGGGTAATGTTTCACCTTAATTTTGAAACATAAAAACTAAGTAATGAAAGCGTAACAGCTTGCCACATGACGGGCGAACGCATATTGTCAAATTGGTGGCCTGCGTTCGGCGGTCTGGCAAAATTTAATCCGAAAGACAGTTTATGTATGGAGGAGAAAAAAGGGATTGCAAGAGATGAACTACAACTGCAGTAACTAAGGATTCATGATATGTAAAGTGGTACCATCAAAGGTGACTTTAGTGCAAAATGAACAAAAATTTAACTAATTTTCATCTTACCTTTTCAGCAAACAATGTCAAAACACGATTCTGTCCTGCAGAAGTACTCTTTTCCTCCTGGGGTAAGTCTTTTCCAGCCTCTGCATGCGCAGAATGAAGTCTAACTTCTTCTTCATCATCATGTTCTTTTTCACTGGAGACCTTTTGCTCTTCTTCTTCTTTTTCAGGTTCAGTTGAGGGAAGTTGCCTCACCTTCTTGGGAAGCTCTATCGTGCGAATCATGAAAGACGGTCACTAACAGTTTTTTGGCTCTCTTTTTCTTTTTTTCAACTTCGCCTCAGTAGCAACGGTATGTACATCTACAGAAATATCATATTTACCATAGAAGGGATTCACTCCAAGCGTTTTGAAGAAAACCACTGAATTCACTGCTCCAAGTCCTGTCTTGTCAAACCTATGTTGAAAACATCAAATGTGAAATAAATATCAAATGAATGAAAATATTGAACAGAAGAAGCTGAGAGCAAAAGGAAATAAACGGCAAAAGTAAAGAAATAATATTTGCCTCCAATCACTCGTTATTTCAACTTCCTCATTGAAGCCACAGTAAACAGTAAGTAGAACCTACTGACATTTACACATCAAATAATTGAACAACTGGCTGACAAATAGCACTCACCTATCCCAAACTTTCTCAAATTCCTCCTCATACATCTGATAACCCAACACCTGTAGGGCAGTCCTTAACTGGGGCTTAAGTACCATGCCATCAGCATCAAAACAAGATGGGGGAAGTAATTTTGCATAAGGAAGAGTCCTGGAAAAGATGTTTGGTAGCTAATGTTCATAAAGGTATTCACTTTAATGCTTAAACTGATATGGCAGTAATAAATGAATCCAAGATATCCACATACTAATTTACCAACTCGCAGAGACAAGAAATCTGATTAAAAAAATAACTTGAAACCACCCGAGGGATGGAGCAATGACTAGAAAAGGAAACACTCCAGAAGACATATCTACCCCTTAGTATTAGAGAAGTAAAAGTGTAGTGACTTATACTCTACATGGATCTAAAAGACTTAGCCTGTTGTTTTTTTTGTTCTTGTTGTTGTTGCTTCTTCTTTTTTTTGTTGTGAGCTAAACAATTGGGAGCAATTTTGATTCTTCTTTTAATAATTTGAAGAATTGATGTGCACTAAATGACTTTCAATCAGGTACCACTGGCTAGGTCAGATTGTACAGCTTCACTAATTAATATGTCTACAAATAGCAGATTTAGTGTATGAATTTCATTTTTTCGGAGCCAGCCAGTAATCAATACTTTTAGTGATATGATTTTCTACTTTATGTGCAACTTTTGAAAAATTCCTTCCAACCCAAAAAGTCTACATGCCAAGTTCAAATTGAAATACAAAATAAATAAATTGGTTCTGAACCTGATATATTAACAAGGAGACAGTCTTACCCCTGTTGAACTCTTCTTTTAAGTTGAGGGAAAACTTCAAGAGCAGAAAATAATTTTGGTGGAGTTTTCTTCTGTCCTTGTTTGTGCACTGCATGCTTCTGTTCCAAAGCAATTTCTCTTTGTCTTTGACGTAATCTGTTAGCTGGGAGGTTTGCAAGGTAGTTGAAATGAGAAGGTGGTCTGAGCACTGGATCCACCCATTCTTTGGTGAGAGTCTGTAAAATAAGCAGAATGCAAATTTTACAAATATATATACAGTTCTGCAAAAAGGTAAGTTGACAGTCCTACAAAACTCTATCCCTGATTCTCGAAAACTTTGAGGATTGTGCTGGGCTAGAGTAGAGTTTTGTGACATTCAAAATCAAATTTAATTTCAAGATGCTCGAAACTCATTTCATGTGTCTCAAAACGAGGAAACAAAGGAATATTCCCACCCCTTGAAGCTTCTTACCTTTTTTCATATTCACAAGATAAAAATCCTTAAAGCATATATATATATATAATTATAGAGTATCATATAACACAACGAAAATAAAAACAGAGGATACATTGACATAGAGTCAAATTTTTGGCAGGTGGTCAGAGAGGCAATAAAGGAGAGTTAGTTCCCTATTTAAAAAAACCCAAAAATACCAAGCAAGAACCAGCCAGGTCTTTGGCTCTACAATGCACTTCTAAACCCAGGGTCCAGCATGTGCATGCTGACACTACTTAAACCACCTTGTCTCCCATTGTCATAAATAAGACCAACAGAATGATTGAACAAGTTTACTTTTACTGGTAATTAACATTTTACAGTACATCTTAGGAGGGAATCATACTTATCTCTTAAATTAAATGTTTTGAAGTTTTGTTTTTTTTTTACACTCTGGATGTATGCTACATTAAAGTGAGCTCACCTACTACCAATGTTCTACTAACCTCATTGTCCTGGAAATGGTGAACAAAATTTTCAAATGAGATTGTACTCTGTGTGTCCAGCCCAAGCCTGGAGAAAAATACACACTATAAGATTAATATGTAGTAAACATCATAAAATTAATGGAATAAGTCTGTCCGTATGGTATTTACGCACGAATTGGTAGTATAAGAAATCCAACAGAATGCAGCCAACAAGTGAGAGTTCTGATACAAACAGATGAGTGCATAAATACCATAAAGATGGACTTTCCATGGAGTATAATATGTTTATATTAATATACATTAAGAGATTAAATTATTTTATTATGTCAATTTGGCTCAAGTAAAAGGCTCATAAATTGATTATGAAAGATGTAATCCATATAAATTTCCTTGTCAATAGAAATGATGCAACCACTGCACCAACAGTACCTTTTTCTTCAACATGATTATTTTCCTTAGAAGTCTAATAAGTGACAAATCTATCCTCAGTCATCTTTTGTAAGAAATTTGACCGCCCTGAGAGCAGATTTTTGTAATTTTCTGAATGGTTTGAAAAGCGAAATAATCTGCCAGTGAAGGTTGAATGTCCAAGAATCACCTGGGTATTGTTCACTCACAAAAAAACATGATACCCAGCTCCTGATTGGATATATTGCTTTCTTTACATATGAAAAATGTGATATATGTACTTGCCATCTGAGTGGCTTTTGCTTCAATGTACAGCTAGCTTGCCTATAAATATATTTCTCATCTTTTTAATGTGTAAATCTCAGTACACATATGATAAAACCATGCATCATATCTCTTAAAAAGTATAAAGCTATAATTGGTTAATTCATTATATAGCCCCCTAAATTCAAATGTTTGTTTGAATTGAGATCTTCCCCCAGTATTTGGAGTTAAAGATTTTTAATAAATGTCTTCCTGACCTTGTTTCCTTGGTCCAAACTTTAAGTTTATGGACCTTATTTTTCCCTCCTGATTTATGACCCACACCCTTGTGCTTGGGCCATAAATCTGAATGGAAAAACCTAAGGTCCATAACTTTAATTACAAACTTCAAACTTAGTAAGTAAGCAGAGTAAGTAATGAGGTATGAGTGGAGGCAAATTTAATTTCTTTACCTTTGCCATTCGTTTCTTTTTCCTTCATTATTTTTTCATTTTTTTCACATTTAATTTTACTTTAAATTTACAAAAACAAATTATTGTGCTCTTCAATGAAGTAAAAACAATCACCTCTTTAAGACACCACTGATTTGGTCAGATGTAAGATAGCCACATAAATGATACAAAATATTTGCAAGTGCTTCCCTGTAAAAATACAAAGTGTGAATTACAAATTAGGAAAACTGCAATATTTTATCTTAAAAGCCAACTTAAACTGTATCATTACGTGTAGCATCATTTAAAATCTAAATCAGTATGATGATAAGAATTTTCCCTTTTTGTTATATCAAGAGACCAGCTTACTGTCTTTATGTATTGTTAGGTACATTGAGGAAAATCTAACAATCGTCTGTTACAGATGAAACCAAACAGTACCTGGATACATTGCCTTTGCCCATGGGATCATTAGAACGAAACAATTGACGAAGCCCACTTATTCTGGTCAGCAACTTTTCACGGATGAGATCTTCAAGCTAACAGAAGTAAAATTCATTGCAAAGTGATAATGTTTATTTCATGATAAGAAAATTACACTCTAAATGTTAATAACGTTAATGTTTATAAATAATTCTATTTAAGAAAGATTATTGCCTGCCTTAAATCACTTTGTGGTCCTGATATTTCAGCAATATTCAATATTACTGGAGCAACACAAGCAGCATAACCCCACGATTTCTAGAAGAGTTGGCTCAGTTAAGTTGGTATTATGTAGGTCACCTAAACTTCCAAATTATCACCCCCTCCCCCCCCCCTCCACTTAAAAACACACATTCCTGTTCTGATAATTGTAAACCTAAGCGTGATTCTCTGAGGTTGATAATTAAACTTCATTTAAAGAATAACGGTTTTGAATTCAGGAATCAAAATAGTAAGGAAGTCAACTTGTTAAAATACTAACTTGCTACATTAAGCTATTTACACAGACATAAGATTTTCGCGGCCGTGCATGTACCTCTTCAGCTGAGAGCTTGTGTGAAGGTTTTTCCAATGCTGGACCACTGCTGTTTGAAGTCTTTCCTTTTCCTTGTCCTATAAAAATATCAAATACTGATTTTAGCTTCGACAATGACCAAAACTTTTAATTTAGGTTCAGAGTGACAGTAAGATTTTACATAATGTTAAGGTTTTCAAGTGTAGATTTTAGCTTGTAATTAAGAAGAAAAATGATTACGAGATGGCTCCTAGAAGTATAAGTACATACTCCGCACTTCGATAGACAGTCTTTAATTGGAGGCATTTATCAGGTGTGATTTAGACACTTCGGCTAATGTTGTTGATTTACATTTAAGCCAGACATATAAAATAATTGGAATTCGAAGTAGAGGTTTAATTCTGATTTTCTCTTCTCGTTCGACCTACCTAGCGGCCATGTTAATACCCTGGAGTGACCTTTTCTTCCTTGTTGGCTTGTTCGTCGCCTTAATGGTGGTAGAGAATCATTTCCTTCATCAAAAATTGTAGTTGCTTCGCGGGAGTTTCCACGGATCTGCAAGAGGTCATTGTTTTCTTCTGACCGACGCAAGCCAGGATGCTCGATTACTGGCAAGGCAGGCAACTTTTTAGGTAAATCTTGTCTTGGAGATGCAATCACATCGGCCATGCTTTAGAAAGTTGTATCATTTCCACTGTATAACTAGCATTTGATTAACTTTTAGGCTTCTGATAGAAGCCTGAACAAAGGCTAACAATGTAACACAAGATCAATTCCATGGTAACCGCTCGTTTAATCATATTCATCAGTGAAGCAAATGAACAATATATTTGCGATGAAGCAGGTCACGCAACAGGAACCAGCAATGAACCAGGTCACGTAGCAAGATAAGAAAGAGGGCCGTTCTACATTTTATATTCGAACGATTGAACGAAAAGTATTCTTCCAATTCGAAAATATCCATTGAGGAGGACGTGAAATACCTTGACACCTCCCCATATGTCGATAATACCATCCATTTTTACTCGACGTAAAATGTAACAGCATACCTTCTTCTGATTTTCACAAATCACGGCAGAACGTGGTTTTGACCCGCTCACCCTTGGACTGAGGATTACCTTGAGTCTAGAGTTTCCCCTGAGCCAGTTTAATTAAACATTTGCTCCACGTCTCTATGAGCTATACATCCTCGAGTTGTCCTGAAGTAAATCGCGCGTGAAAGTGTTATATGCAGACAAGGAGACTGGAACAGAGCTTACCTCCGTGCATTATTTCCCGCATTGTTTAAATTCGCGTTGTTATTATCAAAATCTTCAATCAGCTTTTGGCTGACCTTATCGAAACATCGAATTCCCCATAGACCTGACAGGTTTTGCCACCCCTCTAATTTGACTGCACAGCTGTGTTTCGAGCAAAGCAAGCGCTCTGTCCGTGATTTTGACCCATGAGTGAATTGTGCTGATGACTTTAGTCATCCTAGGTGAGAAGAAACTTCACGGCTCGAAGAAGACTTAAGATCACAAGAATCTTTGAGAGCTGCCAAGAGAGTCAGATCCCACGCAAATGCGAGCTGGCACACACATCACAAGAGTTAAGGATGGATATGGTTGTAAACTACGTTATTGAATAACTATTGTCAGCAACCAAATAAAAGCATAGTCATTTACCTAACATCTTTACTTCTATTTTTGAAAAAAAAAAAAAGCCTCGAGCACATCATTCTACCCAAACAAGAGCTCAATAACTCAAATTCAATGCTTTCTGTAACTCTACGACCCACTTCCAACAAAATTAAACAAATGAACACTATTCTATCAAATGATTATGACTGAAAGTTATATCAGCGATATCAGAATTGGGCAAAATAGGCTATGACAACAAAAATTTTGACCACTATTTTTAACAAACAGGACAATTCCTCAAAGCGTTTTTAAAGGACTGTTTCAACACTTTTACTTTACATAAAACCTCCATCGTTTTCCTTGAAGTAACTAAAAACTTCCTCTTCATCCTGCGTGCGTAGTTCATTCTCAAAAGGTAATCCATCATTAACTGGGGATTAACAGACTTGGATCGGTGGTAGAAATCACTTCGGTGTTCAGGAAGGAATTAAAAAGAAGAGAGAAATTCCACGACTCTGTGTCAAGAGCGATGTCTGACCACAGCCAAGTTTCTCATTGTTTTAGGCCTTAACAGAAGGTCCCTTCATATTATAGGCAGTCGTCTTTCTCACCAGGAAGGCTTTGCTGTGATTTTGTTAAAAATCGTTACATTTTTTTTTAAAAATCAAAGTAACCTTTCGTCCTCAACCATTAAAATATATTCTGTGCCTCTTCAGACAACACCACAATTTCATCATCAGAGTCATTCATTTGGACTTCGTTTGATTCACCTGCAACCTGAGCCCTGCCTGATCTGGAGGAAGCCCTATCCAAATCATTCATTCTTGTTTCATTGCTGCCTTCAGTACTTTCATTGTCTGAAGGAAGCACATGAATAGATTCGTCAGTGTCACAAGCAGTAAGATTAGAAGTCTGTAAAGGTGAGCTAGCTTTGCCTAGCCCACAGCCATCTAGTAAATGTACCATATGTCTACTGTGTGCCATGAGGAAGGGGTCTGTTTTTTCCACGTTTGGAGTCATCATGGCTTCGTTCTTGCCAGTGAGTATGTCTTTCACCTCTGCGGGTACATCAGGATATACAAGCAACTGGAGACAGATTTGCTCAGCTCTTACTAACACTTCTTGGACGTCTATATTGTAAGCCAGATCGTTTATGTACTGTTAAGATAAGGAACAGTCAACAATTTTAACCGACAGTCATGTATACAAAGCAAGCACTAAGCAATACATTTTGGAATAAAAAGTATGTAGACTCGAGTCACAAATTTCAGGATTAATTAAGAAAGGGCCACACACTCATACCACACATTCAACGGGTGGTTTCGCATTCCCCAATGACCTGATCGGTATATGAACGACAATAAATTCCCATATAATAAGATAAATCAGTATCTTTGCCCTTTGCTGTTGATGGCAATTTAGCACAACTTAGCTTCAAATCGAGTTGACAATTTCTTTGCCTAAGTAGTTCGTGTACCTTAAGGATTTCGGTGAATCCAAATCTATTCTCCATAATAATGTGACGGTGTTTATCCAAGATCGCCAAACAAACAATCAGGTGATAATTTGGCGACAATCTCTGTGACCACAACGTCTGAGGAGAAAAATAAACTCTGACTTTAATATTCGGACCGCGATCCGAACTAACAGGAAATGTGGCATAAGCTGGGATAAAAGATAGAGAAGAAAAAATGCTGTTAAAGGAGGGAAGCCATTTTGGTCTTCTCCTTGTAATTCTGAAGTCAAGGTAACTAAAGGTAAGTCTTTCAAACCAAGCCTGACCCACAGGATAGGAGAGTTTTGAAGTAGATTGGCTAGCACATTTTTCCTTTAAGAACTCACCTCCCATAATGTCATAATATCTGGAAAGGAGAACTCGCGCTTAAAACAAATAAGAAGCCACCTGAAGCAGAAGTATAAATTACCAGAATCGTGCTCTTCTGTCGACGAAAAAGAGATCAAACGGTTTTTAGTGTTAACCTCTGAATAGACTGCAAAGTATCTTACAATGTAATCTTCCAGAGAACAAACTATATCTCGATCTCATTGCACTCCCCGTGCATTTTCTTAAAAGAAAATTCGTTTCTTGTTCCATTCAGAGACATCTGCTTGCTCAGGAGCGCAACTTCTCTAAAGGGCCTTGGAAAGATTACAATCAGACCAAACTTGACCGACCCGATCAGAGCAGCAAATCGCAACAAAGGTTAATTTTCAAGGAACCCATGTAAACTGAAAAACATACGTTTATTAACTGGCCAATAACGTGGGAAATGCAGGCAGCCAAATTGTCATTGGTTTTAGCTTTTGATTTAATTGATTAAATAGCTATTGCAAGGAGAAAAATCAAATACTAGGATCAAACTGACGTAAAGCCAATGTAATCCCAGGTTTCCGGCCACACTGAACTGAAAACTTCCCTGACAACGTGCTTGATTTTAAGGGTAAAGTATCAAAGGTGGGGTGGCCGAAAAGGAATGTTGCGCCCGGGAAAGCAGGTGTTGGTCGGAAAAAGAAAAGAATAAAAACTGAGCGAGACCTTGAGTGTCAACGAACTTTGTACTGCTAACCCAAGAATTTAGTCGTAGTAAGAAGACTGCATGTTTTCTGCAATACCATCGATGATATACGAGGTAAATGGTCATGCATTCGAATCAGCTGCAACAAAAATTGACAGGGAAACAAAAACACCTTAAGAGTGAATTACCAAGATACTTGTAGAAATGAGGATCAACGAATTTGAGTAGCACAGCCAGCTGATGAAGTTGTGCTTTCATTCCTTCTTGGTTCTCTTCAAAATTATGAGCCTATAAAGAAGTTGCAAGCAAACACAAGAAGTCAAAAATTATATTGAAATGATCAGGGCTGTGCTTTAACCATAAAATGTCATTTGCGAAAGCTATCCTTAGAGGGAAAAACTCCTTCGGAGCTTAGTTGAATAACATCTTGCGATGAAAAAAAAATGTCGTAAATTAATGTTCATTTCACTTTAAAATTTTGGACCATTAACACTTAAAACGTTATTGCTTATTACATTTGTAATGGACCGCCGAAAACTGGTCACGACGTTGGCGACTTTGAATGAAACTTTAGTCACCAATATTGTTTTACTTGGTGACCCCAAAGATCAGTTGCTAAGAGATTTTCTATTACTACTGGACAACTTTGATTCATCAAGGTCCAGAGCTACTTAAAAACTATTCCCTTATTTTGTGCATTCATTGACAAAGGTCCTGTACATTCAAAGATCACTTCCAGGTGATATGCTCTCATCTGTGATTCTTAAACGTACTGGATCAGTCAAAAGTAAACATTTTTGTTTTGGACATTTTCCATGTGTTCTACTTCTTGAAGAAATCGAACGGTTTTCACTTTTTATGACTACAGTCCCATTCGTTTTTTATCACGAAAAAATTTGTTTCTGTTTCTCCACATGTCAAGATAAGATTAGTATTTGGCATTGTTTTTGTTTCATTTTTCATAGTCACCAAAACACCCTCTGTCGTCGTTATGTCGACCGGCACAGTCGTAACTTGGAGCGCTGGGCCACAAGGATTAGCACCTACCACTTTTTCCATGAAGCCCACGAAACACCAAAAAGCTTCAACTTCATCTTCCATCAGAAATAATATTGGAGAAAGAAGGTCACTCATGCCTTGTACGTAACCTGGAAAGTAAAGGATGCATTCAAGGCTTAGTAAAGAAATTTCCCCATCTTCAGATTGTGGAACAGGCAACAAAAATCACTGCTACTTCCTGTTCTTTACTTCCTAGCACATAAAAATAGCGAGCCGTTTGCAGTAAAAACAATCCAAAGAAGTGAGCACAAAGGTTGGGGAGAATAGATTCCCATTCATTCATTAAATTAAAACAACTTATTTCTTCTGCAGATACACAGTTTTTGTCATGCATTTCTTTTGAAGAACTTCGTCATGTTCTTTGGAAAAGGGAGAGACTTTCAAACAAAAGAGAAGATACATATATAACGTTACGAGCTGGTGAAATGTTGAACTTACCAAGATCAAAGTTGTACATGCAGTAAGTGAGAAGAATGTCATAGAGTTTCTTCACATTGGAATGGTTGGCCTCAGAGTAGAAGCAATGTGTTCTGTCTGTCCGTGAAACATCCTTATCTGTAAAAGAACTAACAAGCTGTAATAATCTTTCCCTTACATGACTTAACAGCCCTAGACTGATTTCAGTCCCCACTGAATCCAGAGGAGGACCTTATGGTGAAGCAACACATCCCAAATAGTAATAGCTACACATATTCACAGGACAGCTGACGCATTCCAGAACTCTCACCAAGAGCTTTAAAACAATTTAAAACCTCTCATTGCTAGTCCAGGCGCCCTATAGGAGACTCATTTATGTATGTTACATGTAGGTTTTAATACAAACCAAAACCAACAATCTGAAAAGCCTGGCTTTTTATGTCAGTCAGGTAAATGTCTGAAACAGAGAACTCTCTTCAATTGACAACATACCCATTTTTAGTACATGCACTAGGACAGAATGAGGATTACAAGATGTTTGCTTCATCAGTGTCCTTCTGTAGCAAGTAAATGCTTGCAACATGAACTAAAAAATTTAGATGTTGAAGGGTTCCCATTACATTTTGTACTTCCTTACCTACAAGATGCTTTCTTTCTCTAAATTCAGAAAAGTTATTTTCTTGTGTTTTGGTCATGAACTGCCACTGCCACTTCATAGTTTTATATTCTTCCCTTGAGAACAACAAAAAGAAAAATAATGAAATTGGCCCAAAGAAGGTAGGAAAATAGTAGGAAAATTTGTTGGTATTTGGCCACCAGATACCAAACTCAATTTGGTTGTTCTGAAGCTACGTACACATGTCCAAGTTGAAGATTGGCTGCATACATATACCTTCCCAGTACCACTACAAAAAAAAGTTATGAAAGTTCCATACACCAACTAAGTATTAACATCATGAAGTTTATCTGAAGAGGCTTCCACTTACTCCTTCCCTCTAAAGAGGGTTTGCTGTGACTGTGCAGTGTAACCATACTTCTTGTACCCCAACAGATACTGCCAGACTGTTTTACGAATTAACTCATCAATACCCTGAAAGATGCAATTTCCACAAGGAAGGAGGGTCCTTTAATATCATCTTTCTCTTAAATATTTCATATAATTTTGCAGCAAGCATGTTTGTATGCAAGGTGGTTTTGCTGTTATCAGTATGGTCATAAATCTTTAACTTTTTTAAAGACTGCATTCTTTTCTAACACATACCCCATGGAATATCCTGTCTTTAAGCTTCTTGACATCAGTGACTCGCCCTACATCATCTAGGAATGACTGCCATTCATTAAGCCTCATTGGTTCTCCTCGTGACACCTCTGGAACCTCACCAAGATCTCGCTGCATATTGTTCATGAGGAAAAAACATTATTTACTTCTCTCCACACAAAAAAGGTACAAATTAATTTCTCATTCAAAAATGCTTTTCCTTCATATATGCAAAAGTATTTTGAATATTCCAAATGTTTATTAGATTGCAAGCTGCAATGTTGTACCAACACTCTAACACTGTGCTACAGGGATCTCTGTGGTGAGCTCATGTCATTACTAAGTTCGCATTAATGGTAGCAATGAATTTTTAAAAGGCCAAATCTGAAAAAAATTATTGAACCTTTCCTGGCACAGATGTCTCATCAGAGTGGTTGGCATCATTCCCAAGATCTTCAAACTCAGGTTCCTTCTTTAGACCATTCTCCTGTTCTTCCTCCTGAGTGCCTTCCACTCCTTCCTGATAGCCTACATAAACATCTCTCACATAACGTGTCACTTTGGACAAAGCATACATGCCATCATAGTATGCACTGTGGAGTAACTTATGCCACTGAAAAAGCAGTTGAAAATAATGACTTCTTACTAAACAACACACACATTTACCGTCAATCTAATCAAAACAATTTATCTATAAAAAAAATTCTAGATCAAGACTGGTTTTCAGCAACCTAATCTAAGCAGTACCAGTAATGGGTTAGTTGTTGACTCATGCCTGCATAAATGGAAATTGCAATGGGACAGTTTAAATGCCACCTATACAGACTAATGAAGTTATTTTCTCATAGGAAACAGTCAACTGATATGTGTCATCTGAGAACATGCATAAGGGATAGAAAATTTGTCTCTTAAATTTTGGATGGTTCAGATATTACTTGGTAACAGACTTTGCATCATCTGATTTCACTACCTTTATTGTGCTACTAGCCGAGGAAAAATGAGGGCATTTGAGATGGATGAGGACAGGGAGGATTAAGTGTTTCAAGTGAGATCAGACTTCGGGGCCTCTGCAGCACCAGTTTTAAACCCTGTGCAAAATGAATCAAATATTTGTGACTTCTTCATTTAACCCTTTAACTCCCAAGTTCTCATTAGTAATTCTCCTTACTGTCTGCCAAATAGTTCTTGTGATGTTAGTTTGGAGAATTTGGTATTGGATCAACTAATAATCTTCTTATTAAGATTTTTCTTAAATTACTTAATCTCTTAAATCTAATGACTTGATAAGTTAAATCAGCCAAGTGGGGGCATGTCTATCTTAGGATCAATTTCAGTATCTGAACTGCCCACCTTCCTCTTCCCTAACCCAACATAACCCTAACTTGTTATCAGTTGACTGTTGTTAGGTTGGGGGGGGGGGGTGGGTACCCAGTTTATCAGATACTGACATTGATCTATTTATTCTACTATGAATACAACTAAGGATTTGTAAGTAGGAGAAACAGGAAACAATGAGTGTATAGTTGGAGAGGGACATCTACATGTACAGCTCAAACGTCAGGTCCACAGATATCAATAATTAAGATTATTTTAAATTCTTCTAAATTTGCAGTTTTCTGTAGTTTTAATGACTAATGTCAGTAAAAAAAAGCCTTACTGGTACTCGATGGGGTAGATTATCCTCTGGGAACAACTCAAGATGATCAAGAGATTTCTTTAGTGCATTGTGATCCTCTGCCACAACAAATAACTTGTGATTGTGTGGAGATCTGAAGTCATAAAGGCAAAGAGAAAAGCAAGATTTAGAATGCACAGATATAAAAGGACTATCTCACATAACATAAGGCAATCCAACCTCTACATGGCATGCAATTAATTTTTTTTTTTCTGATAGCCACTTGGCTCCAAAATTTTCAAAGTGGCAGCCAATTAAAAAAATTGGTCGCCATTTTTAAAGACAAAGAAAAACCTTTTTTTACACTGTCAGTGTCGTAGATAGACCCTCTAAAATTAAGTTTCTGCATGGTTCTTCAAAGTGGACACTAGGATGGATGATGTGCAACATTCAGGCTCACCTAAATCCAAGATGGCGTCTAGTCATCAATCAAGATGTATATGCTGCATTTTGGAAACAAACTTAACAAGGAAGTTTGCTGTGGATTTATTGTTGCAAATCTTTTTAATTCACTATTATATCTCTAGGTATGGTTATGATGAAGCATTCTAGTTGCCAATTTAGTGGCTAGTTCTCAGGATTTAGTCGCCACAGCAAAAAATTTAGTTGCATTGGCGCCTGTATTAGGCACAATTTCACGCCCTGATTCTAACAAACAAATCAAAAGGGTTAATGTAAAAAAATTATGGTTGGGAAAAAAAGTTAAGATTGAAAGATTAAAGGAAGAAAAAAACAGAATACTTGAAAGAGCCTAATAACGGGTCATAGAACATGTTCCTACCTTGTAATCCATATATATCTCTGTAGGTGACGGATCATTTCACTTATACCCCCAGAGTGAAAATGGAGTGCTGGTTGAGTGGTGCCATTTTTTAACATAAATACAGCATAAGACCAGGCCAACTTTGGGTCAGAACGTCTGATAGAGTGCAACTCTGAGACATTGAAGTGAATGGCATACATGGATATCCTCTTTCTCTTCTGGACACTTCCATCTGTTTACAATGCCCATGAACAACCAAAAATAACATCAAAAAGTCATTTAGAGAACACTTTTAATGCCTTCACTGCCTGCATGACATACTGAGTATGCAACACAATTTGCATATTGTGGGCCTACACACTCAGTATTTTGAAAGTTAGAGAGTAGCACTCAAATCTCTGGCACTGGAGATGTAAAACAAACTGACCTCTAAAACTCAAAACAAGTTAAGATCTTGAAAAATTAAGAATAAATCCATCTGTGTTGGTACAAGACTTCTCAGTGGAGTTGGTGGTTAAAGACCTACCATTGGCCAGTATGTATTGCGAGCTTCTGTTTTTGTTATAGTTTTCACAAGAGCAAAGCTTCTATTGTTTTCCCAAAGCTTTTGGAATAATCAACATCAAGTTAATGGTCACCAATTGTCAATGCTATGCCTGATGCATACTGGTTAAAAATAGGTCTTTAAAAGGTGAACTGATTGGGAATATTGTAGATCCACAACTTAAGCAATTGATGCATGACTATACTTTCATTTATTAGATACAACAAGTCAATCAAAACATGTTTGCCACAAATGCCAGTTTTGCATTTTATTTCTTACAAAAGTTTACCAACCCCTAAGCAGGTAATTCCAATGCAAAGGAGTTGTAGATTATAGGTACATCATGCAAGACAATGATTAACAAATTAATGTATACAGTCTCCTCAAAGTTGTTTAACAGTCCTAGACCCTTCCGAGGTGCAAAGTTCCTTTGACTGCTCTAAAATTCAAGTGTTTACAAACACCAATTTTGAAATTCACATGGGCTGAACTACAATCATGTAGATGTGCTTTGTGGTTTCTAACATCAACTATCAGAGAACATAACTTGAAAAACACTTTTTTGTAATAATTAATTGAATAACTATGCTTGTAATTTATACAGGTATCATAAATTACCTTCCTGTTTACTTTGAGTGACAAGATCCCATTCAGAATAGTCACTTGTTTCTAGCTCAAATTCATCTTCTTCATTCACTGCAGGTGACCAATCTACAAATGTGCTGTTTTGCTGTAAAAAATAATTAAAGAAATTATTTAACTACATTGTATTGAATATTATTTTTTTTTTAAAGGGCACGGTAACAAATCCTGCAATCTGATTGGTTCTTTACCCAGTCAGTATTTTCCTATCTCTGCCCACGGGCCACAGTAACGCTTTCATGAGTCGCCAAGTACATCCCAACTTTCGTTACCATTTTTTATAAATATATCTCATTTTTCCAGCTGTGCAGTATTTACAAGCAACCACTTCAGCCACTATCTCAAGCTGATAAATAACTTATGAATCCTCTCTTTTCTCTCTCTCAAATCACTTTGGTTGACAGAAAAATATTGGTTTCAGAATGAATTTGTGTAAGCAATAGCGTCATTACATTGGTTGACAAGCGGCCTATAAACCTTCTGCAATTAATTTTAATTGTTCACAAAAAATACCCAGAAAGTTAAAACGTGAGGTATTTGGTTACTGAACAATGGAACTTTCATTCATTTAATATCTGAATTTTCTCAAACAATTCGTTCGTAGTGAAAGAGCAAGAGAAGTTTTAATTTCAGTTCTGCAACAAATATACGCTCCCGGTGAGTCTTTCCAAGTCCGTTCAATTTGGACATTTGTACCGTAAATTGTACAACAGAAACTGAAGGAATTTATTGGGAGAAGGCTGCATTAAATCCCCTTGTGTCTCGTTGGAGTGTGCCATTCAAACGCCATTGCATCACAGTTTTTCACCATATGGACCTCCCAGCCAGCAAATAACATATATATATCATATACAATACTTATTGAGTAACTAAATTGACCCTGAGAACCATATTTTAGCCAGGTCACATAGTTTGTTTTTTTTCCACAAATTGTGGAATGGCATTAACATTCCTTACTCCATGGCAGCTTGAATGATTCATCCAATAAAAAGGGGCTTGCAACTTAAGGTCAATTCACGGGTGGAGATCAGGAAACGGTTTCATAATAAAACTATTGGAAAATAGACAACTGCAACTAAAAGTCTCCTAAGTCTTGTACAATTATAATTAGAGTGATATGGGGATTGGAGGTAAAGATGATTTATAGAACGAATTTTTAGAATAGACCCCTATAAAAATCCGTTGATACGACAGGTTGGCAACAAAAAAATACAATGACAACTCTATGAATGATACTGTAAGAGGTTACAAGACAGTTTAATTGAGGAAACATCGACATCAGGCAACGGGAAATACTTTAATTTTTTTGAAATGAGTCTCCATAAAATATATCAAGGTACCATAGTAGTAAGGACTACGTGAGAGCGAATGTTCACCTACTTTTTCGATAATTGTGACAATTCCGGGAATAATGTTGGCACCCTGTGTAGCAGTTAATACAGCAGTGTGCACGAACACGCCATCTTGGCTAAACACCACCTGAAGACAGTAAGTCAACAGATGACAATTAATGCGATCAATCAATGGTGGAAAATAAACTTTACGAACCAAAATCATAAAAAAGTTCTTACGTACACCTACTAATCTTGATATTTGACCATAATTAAACTAACCTTTCCTTGGACATCGGCCGTCTGCACAGAAGAGTCCTCGCATGTCGCAGTAGAATTCGCCGCCGCCATTATTTGTATCGAAACTTGATTGAGAAAGTTTACATCATCGGTAAAGGTTAAAAATGTCCAGACTACTTATAATAAATTGAAAGAGCAAGAAAGAGCACGTCACAGTACGTAATATTTATATATATTTATGATGACTCCGTTTACACTTTAACCCACGTAGCAAACGCGGAAAGCAAGATAGTATTTCATGTAAGCTACCGTAACATTTACATAACGCAAAAAATTAATATCTCGTGCCCAGTGTCCTTGAGTGCAAATAAATACACGGTGTTTATAAGTATAGGTAATCACATGATTTCGAGTACACTATGGAGTAAATAAGCACGAGTCAATTTTTTCAAAGACTAACAAAATTTACAAGTACTTATTTATTCCAAATTGCACGAGAGGAATCATGTGATTACGTATTAATAATATACATGAAAAAATACGAGAGAGCTTATCGTAATTATGCAGAAGCAAAGCGCGTGCATTAAGTGCTAAAATCATTTATTCAAAGTCTGCGAGCTAGTAACGTTGTGCTTTCGGTCAAAACAACCACGTACGCTCAAAAAAATAATATACAAAGATATTTTCACATCTTTAAGGCGCAAAAAGGTTCAAAGTCCGGCTAAACAGTTCAAGGAATTGTTCAGTCTGATTTGTTACTTCTTTGCACTGAATTAACCCTCCTCTGCATTGAATTACCTGAAAACTGCAGCATTTATCTAAATCAATCAGAACTGAGTAATTTTTTCATGTATCTTATCAACGCTAATAAGTAATTTTTTAACTGACAAAGCTGCATTTGTATCAAAAGCTTAATCAACGAGTACTAATGATTTATTTTAATGAAAACGAAGTTCTATAAAAAAAAAGCAATTGTGACAGTTTCTTTTAATAGTTGGTATAGTCTTTAAAAAGAATGCTAATTACCCCACGTAAATTCACAATAAATATAGAAGAGAAAGTGAACTATACATGTCGCCCGTTATCATCCTTTTTTTTCCGAGAAGTAATTGAACAAAGCTAAGGATGGACACGCCATGCGCCAAGCCCTTCAGTTAAAGATTTAGAGAGAGACCTGAGAACGAGTGAAAAATGTGAACTATTTGTGTTACATACATGAAAGATCATATGATGTATTTTCAAAGTCTTGCGGATGACATTTGTGGTCTTTTCCTTCAACATGGATTCTTCGATTACCAGTTTTAGTACATAGCTACGGCCATTTGAGTTGATTTACCCAAATTCTTAAAGCTATGGATTTACATCTACAGAGTAAACTCGGAAAGGTTTGTGAAAATAACATATGTGTAAACAAACAAACTTAATAAGTTTTTGCATGTACCTAGTAGCAGAAAATTTTCCTTGTCAGCTCACTGTAATATCATAATATCAATTTGCTTCACAAACGAAAAAATATCTTTCGATCATTTCTGAAAGATGTTTGAAAATATTATGAAGTGTTTGAAAAGGAGATTAATCCGTGAGAATGTATGTAGGTGGAAATTGGCGACAGCCGTATACGTTGCATTGAAAGTCTGTTTGGTATTCATGAAATACAATTATCACGTAGGCTAGTTTGTTAATGCTGAGTTCGAGGTCTATTGTGAAACTCAACGTATCAAATAAAAACCCTACTGTTTCATTTATTGCAACCTCAAGTTTAGAGCCGAGTGGTAGTCACCTAAAATTATGAATACGTTCTACATCAGATTTCGTAATATTAATTTAATTCTAATTAGCTAGAGCATCAGTATAAACCAGTCATTTTCAGCCACAAAGCGTCTCAAAATCATACAGTCTATTTTCAATTTTGATAAATTGTTTGCGAAACAAATTTGGGAGAAAAAAATCTACTAAAGCAAGAAAAATTATGCAATAAAGATAACAAGCAAATGTATGGCAAACCAACAGTATGGTCCGAATGCATTTTGAATTTGTAAAGTTCTACTTGACTCAATGCACTCATGCCACAGAAGATGGAAGTAGTTTTTGTTTGTTTTAGTTTCTAATTTTATTCTGAAACCTTGCTGATTTTTGACAAACCAATTTTCACACTTTTTATTTTTTCCTCCTGCTGTACGGTTTCATTGACATGCTTGTCCCTCCTGTCTGAGGAATCTCCCATCTCCTGCTATCTACCGCAATGTTTCCTTCCGCTGGAATTTTTATGATGTGTTGAAAGGGACTACTGTAGCTAAAAGTAATCAAGAAAACTTACACCTGCTAGGTGTGAAATTTAACTCAGAAAGTTTGCCTACTCTGTTTTTCATGATGAAACATTTTGGGTATTATTATGTTTTTTTTGCAGTATAAACATGCAAATCTTTGTCTTTCTGATGTTATGAGGGCACTGCATCAGTACCCTACCTTACCAGCAGATCTGCAAAACTTTAGTAAGTGAGCCTTTCAATTTTGAAAGCAGTTTTTAACTGTTGGAGACAGGTTTTTTGAAAAGAATTTTCTGTGTATGTGTAATGGTGAACTTTTTCTGAATATTTTTGGATTTAATAAGGTTAAAAAGCAAGTTTCTAGTTTGTTAATTAAGAATGAAATGTACAAGTACATAAACAATCCATGATACATAATATTAATAAGCAATTTCAGTATTCCATCTAGAGAGGAATCTTGAACAAAAAATATAATAATGTATATTCTTAGCAGGTGACAAGTGAGACATGGTTTGATACTTCTCTGATATAAAGATTGAATGAATTTAACTGGGAAGTTACGATTCATAGACATAGGCATGTCTGATTGTCCACATTGTTGCCAGTGAACTTTAATAATTATGTCTTAAGTGATGAGTGATTCAATTTATAACTCAAGTTGTAATGTTCAGGTTTAGTTTCCAGTACTCAATCATAAGTTTTATATTTTCTGTGATAAAACTTACAAAAATTAGAAAGGGAGACAAAAAGGTATCTGTTAAGATAATTCTTGGATGAATTGATCCCACAGCACATAATGATGGGAGAGAAGCTAAATTACTTGCCCTGGATGGAACACTTCCTGTTGTGATCAGAGGTGAGACTTGCTGCTGCATGTTCAACTGATACAGAGACTTATATAAATATATAAATAATTATTAAACTTAATTGAGAGATATAAAGCAGTTAATGTATTTGAGCGATATTCTCTTTATTTTTGTAATTAAATATATATTCTACAACCTTTAGACTAGATAAAAGTGTTTACATGAGGTGATAAAAACTACATGTAGGAAAGAAGTCAAAGTGTACTCACTTGAGATGTGGACTAAAACATTTTAACCAAACACTGCAAGTCTTCTTCACTTATTGAGATTAACTGGTTATAAGTCGTTGTTATCTTGCATGATTGGTGCATTTCACTTGTGTATTCTTTCAGAGGTCAGCTGATATTGGCTGGGTTCCCCTGTTGTTGTGTTTCTTAATCAATTGGCCATCATGCTGATGTTTATTCCAGTATCATTTCTGATGTTGTCAGGAGGAAGTGAGACCAACAATAATACTCCATCTCCAGTGTATTCATAGGGATGCATGACTGTGATGCTTTCTTTTGTATGGTACTGATTAAAATGTTCTTCTACAGCTGCATAGTGTGCAATTGTATTGCCAATTGTTATATGAAGAAAGTTGCTAATTATAGGGTTTTAAAAAGAAATGGATGAATTTACTGGTAAATTATTACAACTATGAGTTGCTTCCTCATTAACTGTTGATAGCTCTCAGTTAGGGTTAAGAAATGTACAAATTAGTTGCCCAAGTGTATGAACCACTTTTTGTTCCAGGTGTCACATACAACATTCCAGTGTGTGTCTGGCTGCAGGAGAATCATCCGTATGTTCCCCCACTTGTGTATGTCAAACCAACAAACACAATGGCTATCAAACCATCTCAATTTGTGGATTCCAATGGAAAAGTTTACCATCCTTTTCTGCACGAGTGGACTTATGTATGTTCATTAGCATCAACTTTCATCATTTCTCTCTATAACTTATGGATTAACCCTGTAATTCCCAGGAGTGACCAACACTGAATTACTCCCTAAAAGATCAATACTACATATGAAACAGACAGTGATGAGAATAAAGAAAAGTATCAATTGGGGAATTATTTGTTGATCCAATATTACTTCCTGCAAACTGACATTATAAGAATTGTTTGTTAAAATAATAATAAGGAGAGTCATCAATGAGATCAGGAAATGATCAGGTTAGACTGCTGAAAATGCATGTTGCTTTTCTAGGATCATACATGATGATAGGCTTGTTTTTTTTCTCAGGAATGATGATGACATGTAAGCATCTAACAGTAAGTTTTCTTCTCTTTCAGCCCAAATCTGATCTTGCTGCCTTGCTTCAGATTCTCTGTGGTATTTTTGCACAGCAGTCACCAGTTTATGCAAAAAGTGCACCAACACCACCACAACCTAGTAGTTACAATATGCCACAACAGCCAAGCTACCTCCCTCAGTATGGTGGTTACTCCCCCAATCCGGGGGCCATGCCACCATACCCTGTTGGAACATCTACAGGAATGCCAATGCCACAACCTGGGCCAGTCCCAGGCAAGTTTACACCAGTAGTTATGATAAAAATGTTATTTACTTATTTCATATTTAGTACTACATGATTACTGTTTCAAATGAATTACATATGTCAATGATCATCTTTGAAAATATTCTGCATCATCCCTTGATCTTTATGGAGGAAGATTAAAACACTTCTCACTGTTATTCAACCTTAAATACAGAAGACTCAGTACTGAAAGTAGAAGGCAGGACTCACACAACAAGACAATGGTGTCCAGAAAACCTATCCTGTCAATTGTATGGAATCAGTCATCTGAATGCAATTTAATACCACCTGAGTTTTATCAAAATTAATGGCTAACAGACAGCTCAGATAGACATTTGAATGGAGTGACTGAGCTCAGCTCAGCAATTATTCATTTACTGAATGACTGACTGGTCAACAGAGTACATGAAGCTACTCATACTGGAAACATTGTTTTTTTTCTTTGGTGATTAGTTTCATTTGTCTTTGTTGCTTAGGAAGCAGCCCAGGTAGACCAAGTGGTGGCAGACCTCCATATCCCCCTTATCCTCCAGGAGGTGGGTCCAATATGGGACCATCTAATCCCCCATACCCTGTGCCAAATCATGCAAGCTATCCCCCTAGTACACAACCATCTTATTCTGGTCCAGCTGCCAGTATTCCACATGTCACTCAGGCTAATTTGGACACAACTAACGGCACAACTGCAGTGAGCAGCACTTTGAAGGATGAAGAAATTAAGCTATCACTACGGTCTGCAGTGGAAGACAAAATAAGAAGAAGTTCAAAGGCATTGTTTCAGCAAGCACAGGTATACATAATCAGATTTGAACTCACTGTAGACTGCCAATCAACATCAGGACCAAAAAGCTTTGGAGACAATTTTGCTCTGTTGTTGACTTATGTTACATTTCAGTTCATATGCATTGCAATCAGTTAGCCCACCTGTTGAGGACCACCTCAAAGTGCAAGTTTGTTTGGTAGAAAGTGTTTATTTATAAGACTACATGATTGGACCACAAGGAATCTTAGCACGATACAAATGCACTCACTAAAACCAGATCCTGGATAGGACAGGAATGTCCTCTATTCAGCTATAGCTTTTTAACCTTTTAACTCCCAAGATCTGATTGTCAATTCTCCCCTCCAGCTGCTACATATTTCCTTGTAAATTAGTTTTGAGAATTTGTTGTAAGATCAAGGCAACAAATTCTAACTGGTAAGTGTGAGTATTCTCATTACCTTTTTGCTGAAAAATGTACAGATAGTGAATGAAGAAGTCACCTGTCAATCTCTTTTGAGAGCTAAAGGGTTAACAGGTAGTACGGAAAAATTCGTCACCTATTTTCGGCTCACTTTTTTTTTTTGACAGATTGAATTAGATGAGTTGAACAGAACCCAGAATGAGTTAAAACGGGGAAGTGAAAAACTACAAGATATTTTACAGAAACTGGAAAGAGAACAGGTAACAGCTAGAAATATGTTAAAACTTTGTGGGGAGTAAATTCACTTTCCTTCTCTCTCGATTAGTTCAATAAGCCCATTTTCAGTCGCTTTCGAGAGATTACTTCGATGAATAATTATGACAACTACCGGCATATACAGAGAGTATATGCATCAAGAATTGACTTCGTTATTGAAATGTGCAGAAAGGGACAATGTCTCAATTTGATTAAATCTTTGATTAACAGTGTCTAATCAAATTTCTTAAGTGATCATCCAGTGAAACTGAGAAATTAACGGATTGAGTTGTGGCTTATTTGCCACATTGTCAATCACGCAAGGCAAGGCATATCGCTCCTCTTGCTCTGTGGATGTATAAAAGTCCACTGACATGAAGCTGCGTACAAGGCTGGCACATGGCAATGTGAAAAAGGTAGAAATTGTCTTGCTCCAGAATTCAGCGCAGCTGTCCTCAGGATAACCTAGAATTTGGAAAGTAGGTGGGTAGGGGGAAGCACTTGAAAGAGCTTGGAGAGAAGGCGGAGGTTCCGCTGATGTCTTCCAACCCTGAGCCGGAAAGTAACGTATTAGATCAGGGTAGTAAAAATTTGTCAGTACATTCCAAAGTAGAATGTACACGGTCAATATTCGCGTGCTTAACCCCTGTTAAAGCCTGAAGTGTTCGAATGACCGTTCCTTGCTGGGTAACACGTAATCGTTCAAGCAGAATGCTGGAGATCCTTCCTTTCCGCCCCCCGCCCCACCCCCCTCCCTTCAATTTCATTCCTCTAGGACCTGAGTGCAACACAACCAGTTTTATGTCATAGATCACTTATTAGTTAAGATTTAAATTCTCGACCGATGTCTTTTCATTCGCTTCGCAGGCGGACGTGGACAACGACATCAAATTGTTAACACAAAAGAATGAAGAGATTTCTGAGGTTGTCAGCAAGTTAGAATCGAATTCTGAAAATCTTGAAATCGACGAAGCAGTAGTGACTACAGCACCTCTTTATAATCAGTGAGTACACATATTGGTGGTTAGAATGATGCACTGTTTACTTGTGGAACTGTTGGCTCAAAAATTGTTCTCGCCAGAATTCTCAACCTATTTGCGGAGGAGAATGCAGTAGAGGATACAATATATTATCTCAGTGAATCTCTGCGTAAAGAAGCCATCGATTTAGAAGTTTTTCTTAAGGTAAGAAGCCTCCCGGTGATGATTGTGGCAATTTTCAGGGTAACCACAACAGCCCAAAAAAATCAAAGGATAATGTCACAAGGAGTTAAAGGCGCCAGTAAGATCTTCAAGCTTTGCATCAGTGTGAGAATGATATAAAAAAAGGAATCGTATTTTTCGATTTGGAGCAGAAAATTTTCACGTAACTTCAGGGCGTGAAATTGCGCCTAATACAGGCGCAAATGCGACTAAATTTTTCACTTTGGCGACCAAATCCTGAAAATTAGTCGCCAAATTGGCGACTAGAATGTTTCATCTTAACCTTACCTAGAGATATAGTGAATTAAAAAGATTTGCAAAGACAAATCCGCGGCAAACTTCCTCGTTAAGTTTGTTTCCAAAACGCAGCAGATGCATCTCGATCGATAACTAGACGCCATCTTGGATTTAGGTGAGCTTAAACGTTGCATATCATCCATCCTAGTGTCCCCTTTGTAGCACGTTAAAGATCTTTTCCCTTACTTAATTTCTAGAACGATGACAGCGTAAAAAAAGGTTTTGTTTGTCTTTCAAAATGGCGACCAACTTTTTTTGAATTGGCTACCACTTTGATGAATTTAGGAGCCAAGTGGCTATCAGAAAAAAAATTAATTTCACGCCTGAACTTTGATTTGCCAGAGAAAGGCATAACTCCAGTTTAACGAGTGTTTTCGTGCACTTTTCGCGTGCAAATTTTCTGGCAGGACTACAAACCTTGACTGTGAACAGTCAATGCTAACCCTAAGCAAATATTTTAAAGCAAAGGATTCTGAAATTATTGTTCGGGCGTTTTCAATAAGAGTCCAAATTAAAACTATATAATTAAAGGTTATTTAAGGTGAAATATCAGGCAGTTTCTGTCTACCAATCAACTTCACGTTTCACTTAGTGGAACTTAACCTTGTCTAGAGAAATTGACAATTGATGAGTACTTCTATCATTCGTTCTTAGCCCCTTTTTTTTCTCTTTTTCTTTTGTCAGCACGTAAGGACATTATCAAGGAAACAGTTTATGTTGCGAGCCCTTCTATATAAGGCAAGAAAAACAGCTGGATTAACGGAAGTAGCAGGATAAAGTTTAATGTGTCTTTCTAGATATTTAGCCGTGTAAGCTCTGAATTTGCCCGCCTAAGGGCGTTACTTGAGGTTATTCTTTTCTTTTTGTATTTTAGGTGGAGTAATTCTCTTAGATTGCACTGAACAGGACGAGATTATTCCACAATTGAGGAATATTTTAAAGTGAAGTTTCGGTTATTATTCCACAAACCAAATCTTTCGAAGGGCTCCTACTGAGGCCTGTATGCAGCTCGTGAAATTGTTTGTAGAAGTGAAAGATCACCTCACGTGCAGCTCAATAAAACTACAGCTAATGATCGTGAGACTATTATTTCGTTCTGCTCATGAGGAATTGGTTGGTTCTGCTTATGTAATGACTTGGACCAACTTTTCAATCTAATCTTCGATGCTTTTAGATATGATTTTTGCGGTGTATATGTGACTGAGAAGATGTTTGTAGAGCTATATGAAAAAATACTGTACCCATTAAATAACAAAAATTGGACTTTTGGTAGTCGTTATCGCTTTGTATATTGATGTTGAGGAACCTTATTACATAATTACATATTACATACAATTATTTACCGAAGTTGTGGTAAATGTTCATCACTTTCACCAACACTTAGGTTGATAACTTTATTAGCATTTTTTACACAAGCTGAACAATTGACAGACCAAATTAAAACTCCACTCTTACAAAATAATCGCAATCAGTAAGATAATCATCCAGAGCGATGATCATTCCCGTGAACTGTCACACATCAAATCGAGTAGTTGAAGGATGCTCAAGTTGGACTAAGATCTGAGTCAAATTTTTCCCTGTTCCCTCTCATTATTTACTTGTTTCGAAGTATCGTTCTCTTTTTTCTGCTTTCATCTCGCCTACGTCCTACTAATAAACGCTTCTGCCCTGCTGGCGGAAACGCAGACAACACAAGCGTGAGAGAGAGAGAGCTTCGTCTGTGTCTGGGGCGTGTGACTTTTCGCCTTCGCGTACAGGTCCAAAGCACTTGGCGCCCGGTTGAGTAGAGTTCGTGCATGGCAAGCTGAACCTTTCGACCCAGACTGTAAGCTCACCCTAAACTCTTCAGAAAATTTAATTATACTAAGGCTCATGCAGGGATTTTACAATAAATGAGATTCAAATCGCGAAGGGAAGAAACGATATGAGACCCCACCTAGATTTGCTGACACGAATGAACATATCTTGAGTCTAAAATCAAATTTTAATATTAATGTCTGTGTCCTAATCCATCTCATCACGCAACGTACGTGCTCTGCTTAAGAAAACATTTAAATCAAAGAGCTCAGAACGAAGCAACTTCGAAGCTTACCTTGTGAATGCTTTTAATGGTGTACCTTCAATTCCCGGCAGAGCCAGTCAAACGTTTGGCTTACTCATTCAAGGAAAGGACATCATAAACCCTTATAAGCCACAGTTTTGAACTTTATTTTATCGCAATTTTATTGTAACTTTTGTATGACTTAAAGCATTTGTGAGTAAGAATGCCACAGTTAGCGAACTGTGGTTGGGGTCCTTTGAACTTCAGACGCTTCAGCTACCGTGGCAGGCAAGTCGAATCCCTTGTAGGGGACAGACAATAGTGACAATAGTCATAATTATTTCAACTGTCTCATTACTTTGAAGATTGTCTGAGGAAAAGTTGCTGCTTTTATCCAAAAAAAAAAAAGAAAAAAGAAAAAAAAAACCAACAACCAAAGACACTGATGGTAAGCAGTTGGCCCCCTCTACGTCTAAATTTGTCCGAGACATTCAAATTGGATCAAGTGAGTAAAACTATTGAGACCACGTGAAAACCTCCCTTTCGTACGTTAGTTGGCCTGTTCCGCATAAAAGGAGATAAGTGTTTGGAATGTTTCACGAGGATGGTGTGATAAGTAAGTAATTCTTCGAATCTCAAAAATAACAAAAATAATAATATTAATATAAATTGATTAAAAAACAGGACATGTGGTAGACCTGTTTACAAAAATTGCCTCTCTAACCAAACGTAATCCGTTTGAGGGTCCATTTCCGTGTTCAGATGTCAAGATTTTATAGTGTGTTGGTCATATAATTTTCCGACTCTGTCAGTAGGGATGAATTCGATATTCATTTTTAAAGAAAAAAAGGCGATAAAATGAAATCTTTCCTGAAGATGAGATGGACCGTTTGCCATCTTGTCATTCAGTCAATCCATCTATTGATCCATCATTTTCAATCTTCTTTGGAAAGATGACAGCTAATTGCAAATCACTGTAATTTGTCATGTACAATAATCAGTTTAATCTAGAAAAGTTTCTGTTTTCTGTTTTTGATAGTTTTTTTTTATACCTGTCTGTGCACAACCCTCCAAAGCATCCCATAACTTGACTCTATATTGTGAGACAAACGAATAAACGTCCATTTATTTTAAAAACCACGATGATGCCAGCTCAGTAACATCGAACTTGCTGACCAGTGAAAAATCTCCTCAATTTCTTATTTCACAATTATTAAACACAAAGACGGGAGATTGATCATAATCAGGGAGCTTACTGTTTTCATGCTAGTAAAGACAAGATAACTCTACTAGCTCATTACGAGTTAACAAAGAAATTGTGTGCATCTCATTCTCACCCCCACCAATTCCTGCCCCTTTTCCACAAAATTTCAAAATCGAATCATTTTACCATGAACCATGAACGAATTCAGAGAATGTAAGCAGCAGTTAGTGATGGCGCTTATAAAGCCAAAATGTCACTTCGTTGTTGTGGTAACCCATTTTAACCAGTCATGAAACTTCTGTTTCATCCATGACATGCTTATTATTCGTTATCTCGAAGATATAGTCAAATCCTCTACAAAATTTCTACTCGCGTCTTACGTTCTTATAATCACCGCCTAACAGCAGACGTCCGCTAACTCTTATGATTAAAAATATGTAAACTCAGGCTAATTTGAATTAGCTTCCACTTTGTCAGTTAATTGTCTCTCAGACAGCTTTACTTAAATAGCGATTATCTCTGTGGCGGAAAAACTGCTGATCTTGTTTAAAATAGGTTTTCCCTGCCAATTCTAGATAAAATTTCAGCGCAAAACATGTGAAAAAATGAATTTAAGATTAAGATGCCGTGACTGAAGCCCATATGAAATATCAAATGATCGTGTGGATTTGTATCTGTCTCAAGACTGCACCTTTCTTTTGCCCCTATCTTTGGTCAAGTACTTCAATGAAAAAGGGAGTAAGCCTAAGAGTGATGAAAATTAAACGCAGTTCATAAGGCAGGCCTGTTAGTCTAACAATTTTCCAATTACGCACCGTGTAACTTTAAAAATTTGCAACAGCTTCAAAGGCGGATTGGCGGCTTTGGTGCTTTATTTGCGGAAATCTCAGGAACATATTTTGGCGATTTCTGGAGACTGAAACTCTGAAAGCTTAATATCAATGCATTAGTTAGAAAATGTAAAGTGTGAATAGTTTATTACCTTTTGAGTTGCAACACACTCTGCTTGGTATAGGCATTTCAATCAATTCCATTAAATGTTCGAGGACAACGTCTTCTTTTTGTCCAGGAGGACATCCACATGACCAAAAAGGTTACGCTTACCCCTGCTGTGTGCAACAAAACGCTGTTTCAGTTTTCAAGGGGCTTGTTTGAGTATTTCCTTTCGTGTTGGGAATTCCATACAATACTGCGCCCCTTATTCCAGGAGTAGTCTTTCAGAGAGACGAAAAGTTTTTACCTCTGACGTTCAATGCACGCTCATTAAGGGTAATACGTGCTCGTTTAATAGTGGATCGTTCGATACGAAAAAAAAAAATTTAAACTAGACAGTGACTAACAACTATTCTTAAGTTCACTTCGTCCCTACATCACAAACGGTTTTTGTTTTTTTCATTTTTCCCAGTATTTCGCCGCTTGTAGAGTTACTAAATTAAATTGAAACAACTGTTTGATTTTTTTCTGTATGAGTGTTCCTTGACCTTTTGGACATTTGGACTTATAATCTTTCTTTGAAGTTTTTTTCCCATATAATGTAACTTCATCTCACTTTGAACTACCGCACAGAAAGTAACCTACCGCGCTATCATGCTGTTGATTCCAATTAGTTAATATTTCTGCCCCATCTGAGTCCATTCTGGGTTGCAATACTCCACTGAACGAAACATGTGTCTTTTCAAAACAAATACGGGCATGATTGATTCAACAGTAGCTTGTGCTTTACATGAAACGGAAAGTTTGAAAACCGTAGACGTTATGCAAAACTGATTCTATTTTTAGACTCTTAAAGTTGTTTCCATACCGTAAAATACTGCACGGTTCAGCGTTAATTCTTATCTCTGATACGTCTGTTAGCATTCGTATATATAATGACTTATATCTGTTCACACTTGTACTATTATTAGTGTTGCTATTTGTGCAAATCTTATATGATAGAGCCATTCAGTGTCAAGAAAATCGGGCTAGATGCTCTGCATGTCGAACCAGTAAATCCCTTCAGTCGCCAATGGTCTTAGGATCGCAGAAATCGCCTTAGTTGTTTTTAAAATCCCACAGTCATTATGGATCGCTCTATGTCGACTTAAAACGCCCACAATTAGTGGCAACGTTTGGATCGCTTTAAGCTGACTGTAAGCCAGCAAATATGGAGCCCTTGGCGCCCACAGGAGTTCTGTCTTTTCTTCAGGACTTTCCTCATTAGATAGAGACCTCAATTATATAAATAACAGTGTTGAGCCCACATGTTTGCCAATAGCAGGGTGATCATACCATTCTCGTTTTTTACCTTGGGAGATTTGAATTTTTGTAACATTAATTAGTTTACATTCTGATCTAAATTATCCAATCGTCAATTAGCACTAGTTGCTGCAAACAAGAAACAACGCTCTACGGTTTACCTGTATACAAGCTGTAAATCAAGGAAAACTCATTGATCTTAAAGGAAACGAGGAAATTGGTGTTTTTACGCCACCATACTTTAGTTAAAATCTTTACGCCAGAGCATAAATATTCTCCCACTCTTTGATAAATTAACTAATGGAGAATTGTTCATGCCAATTCTGCTTCTCACTGTCGGCATATGTGACCAGCAGCCTAGTGTAGGTGAAGTTTATTTACCGAACACCAAGAACTAAGATGCATGAGCCAACAAGCTTCTGTAAGTCAACCGTCCATCCGACATCTTCCGACAACATCATCAAGCAAGTTGTGAGATAAAAAGACTCTCGAACATAGGATAGTCAAACGTGTAAATTTTGCTGGATACGTGTCAAATGGAAGATGGAGGTAAGCAAGGCGAATGCTGGAATGGGCGTGAATTTCCGCAGTTTCATGGGTGTGCTCCAGTTCATAAGATTAAAATTTAAATCGTTTCCTTAGAACAAGAATGTTTACATTCTCAGTTTTTCTAGAAGTATTTGATCCGCCGTTTCTTGTAGCTCCAGAGTTTTCTTTGATAATTAAACACGTTCGTTCTTACTGTAACTAGTGGGTTTCGATTGTAACTAATCATTCAAATAT